AAACTTTGAACGAAAATTTCTCGACAACTACTTGATATAATTTGTTGAATTTTTTTAAAAAATGAATTCTATTAGTTCATATAAGTTATTTAAAAAAATTTCTATCGAGTTCTATTGGATTGGTGTCGAGAATTTTGTCCCAAAAAATTAAGAAAAATTCTTCGATAGTTTACGTACATCGTAGGTGCAAATTCACATGATCTGGTAGGTGTCCGGAGACTTTCCCATAATGAAAACAGCTGTAATTTAATTTGTTACAAGGTTTTTATGGAAACCCACATCCGAAATGTATCAGGTTAGTACGCTATCATTGGCTAGATAGTATTAACGCAATCAATAAGAGCAAATTTATAACATTAGTTGCTACGTGTTAGTCGTGCCGAAAAAAAGTGTCAGTCCTGTGATCATGAACCAATTATATTTAGAGATCAGGTGCAACGAAACACAATCAGAAAAAAATGTTCGTTTTGCCAAAAATCGCCTACCAAAAAGTTCTCTCTATTTGCATAAAAATCAGTCTTATATAAAGAATTTTTAACAAGCCATTTTGTGGCCATAACTATATTAACTTTTTTTTTTTTTTTATCAAACGAGGTCTGTCCTCTTTTCTTTTATTAGTTAAAATATAATTATTACATCAGGGATACAATAAGATATTCTATCTAATTCTACGAAGGGAGAGGCTAAGGCTGGTTTACCTCCAACCTAGGCTTCGCCAAGGAAGGTCGTAGACCTCTTAGTCTATGTATGGGATGTGATTTGGGGGCGTATTAAAATGTATGAACGAATCTAGCCATCTACTATATTTCAGTGCTTTTCTATAGTTATGTGTTTGTGTGGTAGGTGTGTGCGGGTTATTATGGGGGGAGGGGGAAAGGTAGAAACATTTCTATTGATGCTGCATCTGCTGGTCAAAGGCCATTTCTCAAAAATTTGCATAAGAAATCACTTTTGTGAAAAAATCTAATAAATTCACGAATCATCCAGGACAACCACCAAAAACACTGACGTAATTAGACAGTCGGCCTGCATGATTTTAAATGCAAAAAGAAAAATTTAGTCTTTTTTATGGTGAAGTTTACCCAGGAATGTTTTTACTTAATCTGGCGGCTGTGTTCATTTGCACAATTTTGGTCTATGACTACGTCACAGCGTTTTTGGTGGTCGCCCTGGATGATTCTAAATTTACCATCGGAGTATAAGAAGATGTAGCTGAAGATGATGGTGCCTGCAGCGTGATTGCTTATGATAAACCCAATTTTTTTGCTGCATTGCTTATTGTCAAAGTATCGAAGTCAGTAGTGACTTTGTTGGCATGCTTTTTCATAGAGAGCTTATTCACCAATTTATCCATTTTATTGGCATTTTCAGCAACATTCGCCACTTGTAGCAGAATGATACCATTCCATTTGCCAACTTCTCTCAAATAAATGTGAATCAGATTTAGCACCGGTCTGGACTGTTTTACAATTTTCAGACCAACCTCTTCCAAGTGAATTAAATAACTTAGATGGTCTCATGCGCTCAATGGACCGAGTCAAAAACTCATCAAAGTTTGTTGTGTATTCACAACTCACATCTTGTAGTCCAGCCACCTAATAATGGAAGCCTTGAATTACATTGTTAAAAAATATAATGAATCATTGATGTTAATAATTACTCACGGTTAATTCATATATAGTGAATAAAAATTGTAGGAGATTAAAGTTTTTCTTGAGCAATTTTATTGTACACTGCGAAGCTTCTTTCTCTTCTCGATTCTTTTTCCTGTAACTTTGTTACGCAATTTTTCTTCAACATCTAAACTTTAATCTAGTGTTACGAATCAGAGCAAAAAATGTAATCGATTAGTTAGTTGAAATTTTTTTTAAAAATCGATTATAAATCGAATATTGCTAACTAATCAATTAATCAATTAATTGATTAGTTGATTAATCGATTAACCGATTAGTTGTTTAGTTGACCTAATTTATGAATATAAATCTAATAAAAATTTTATTAAAAAGCTAATTAATGCAAAAGCAACTAGTCAATTAATCGATTAATAGTTGGGTCAAAATTATTAATCGATTAGTTGTCAACTCGATTTTCGATTCATATCTCTACTTTAATCCTAACATAAACAAAGAAATTTAACGACTAACTCAATTGTAGCGATGAGAATATATTACATAAGGAGGCTGACAAATATTAGTTTATATATACCCCTTTGGGATTTTAATTTGACCTTAATGTGATAAATTCGAATTTGTACATTAAATTGTAATGCAAAAATGATATATTTGATTTTGTCACATATAATATTTATATAAGTCAAATAACCAACTCTGAAGAGGTCAAATTAAAATCCCAAAGGGCAGGGTTGGCAATTGATATACTCCATTGAGAAAATTACCAATGAAAAATCTAACGAAGCCGATGAAGAATAGGGTTCTAATTTCCAACCTCATATACCAATAGCTCGACCTGTTGATAAACAGGCCAAACGGATCAATGTCAATGGAGATGGTTGGCTTCCATTGGCTCCATTCGGAAATTATTCTCAATGGAGCAATCAATAGAGTTGTTCTCCATTCGCCCAATGGATAAATGTGCCAACTCTGCCAGAGGGGTATATATGACAATGTTTGTCAGCCCCTAAAAACATTTATTCTATTAAAAATTGTTTATATAATGTAATAATAAATTTATTAAATTTATTATTAATTAATAACAAAATAGTTATCACTAAGTGCTGAAATCAAATTTCATCTTGTGTGAGATATGCAAAATATATGATATGTTTTGTCGTGCGAAAGGCACATCTCTACAAATTACTAACGTCATGCACAATTTATTGTTATTGGCTTCAGAGCTTTAGCTATGACGTAAACTACATTTTTTGTGGGCGATGCTAGGATGTTGGCAAAAAGGTTTACATATAAACATGAACCGGTATTCGGGTTTGTTTTTGCAGATTGGAAATGGCGGAGGTGATTTTCAAGGCAAAGACCCCATATAGTGTCATCACCATATACCGATGGTGATCGCCACACTGAGCTTTCTATTCTCAGATCCTTTACACCGATGTGATAACGTAACTTAGGATACATAATGACTCAACATATAGTATATCTCAATAGAAAGCTTACCCAATATGTGTAATTTTAGCACCTACCCTCTCAATACTCCTTTTAAACAGTTTAAAACAAAACAATATGAATCTCTCTCCCAGCTTAGATGCTGATCTCCGATTTGTACGAATTCTCGGATTACACTTGCATTTTTGTATTAAAAAAAAAGATATTTTGCGTTAAAGAATGTAGAGAAAAAAAACATTCATACATTTAATATAATTATCATTCTTTTTTTTCCGAGAAAATTTCATTTTTCTTTGTCGAGAGCATGTAGGATGTATCGAAAGCTCTGGATTTTAGTTATTTATATTTATTTATCTTAAAATAGATAATTGTACACTTATCGAGATCATGAACGAGTATAATGAAATAGGCAGTTGTGTATAAGTTATATTTTTAATTTAGCGCAAAATTTTTTAATATCAATGTTTATGCGCAAAATTTCTAAATACATACTTATCGTGTTTATCGATCTCGCTCGTATTTTACGTTCTGCATCAGAATTTTTAGGGATGTGCATATTTAATTGATCTTAACAAAATCCGATTATCTAATGAAAAGTCGACTGCTAAGCCGATAATTTACTTTTACATTATCAGGATCACGGTACTGTATAAAAACTGCCTGAACAGGCGGGTAATACTGTATTAGTTCTAGCTAAAGTCATTGTGGCTAAAACAGGAATTGAAATCAGTCAAAAATTAGTCGATTAAACAAAAGTGGTTAAGCTGATTCCAATCAAGTATAATCATTTAGGTGCAGATATTTTTGAATTGGGCCTAAATTAAAACCCCAAATTGTTAGAAGTAATAACAAGTTTTTACTTGAAAAAATCCTATTGACAATTAATAAAGTTAGTAAACATCCGGAGCGTAGTAGGGAATTTACGTCTCAAATACAAGAGCAATGCCTGTATTTAGAGGCCATTGCGCAAAATGCCGATTATTATTGGCTGTTGTGACATAATATAAATTATTAGCTCCAAGCATTAAACAATTAATCAATCAATCAGGGGAGATAGTAGAGATAAAGTCCAAAGCATATAAAACCGGCAAACTTTAATCCAGTTAACTATGCCATCGGATTTACAATCAAGGTTAATCGTTTCCTCATTGGTTCTCGTTACCCTGCTCTAACAGATAGCCAATCAAATGTCGTACTATGTGAAGATTTAATTTAATAGCTGATATAGTCTGCCTCCTGGTATACTTACGTACGTGATCGACTTAAATATTTTTTAAAAATGAATACTCGTTCACAAAGAGGATATAATGATAACAATGACAATTATCCAAATTTCTACAATAATCAACGGAGAAATGGTGGAAGAAATAATAGATACTTAGTTGGACCACCATATGTTCCATCAACTTATCGATCTCAACCTGAGCTTAAGTTTAAAGTAACCAATGTTCCATATAGAGCAACAACCGCCGAGCTGAAAGAATATTTCAGCTCATATGGTAGTGTTCATGAATTGTATATTGACTTAGATGATAGTGATGGAACAGAACGGCCAACTGGAATTATTTTTATTACATTTAGGTTTGTTCTACTAAAACTTGACAGTGGATGCTATCTCTTTTTTTGTTTTTTTTTTTTGATCAGTGGTCCTGATTTATAATTATTTCAGACCTCCTCCACGGCAACCATTCTGGAATAATGCTGTTCGTTTTCATGGTCGAGAATTAAGATTCGAATATAAACCATATAATAATAAATTTTTAGATTATTCTGATAGTGAATATAAGATTAAAGAAGATTGTATTTACGCAGAAAGCGTTGATATGGGTACATTTATTCAGCCCAAAACCTTTGCCCCAGAGGCAAGGTTTACTGAAAAAATAAAATTTTCTCTCGATTATAAGTGGCGTAGTATTACTATTCAGTTCGGATTTCAAAAAGAACATATTTTCAAGTTGGAAATTCAGTTCAATCATATCGATGGTGAAGTTTTAGTTGAATTTGAGGGCTCTAACCATCAATATTCAAAAGCTCATCTTACAGTTGCAAGCAAATTTCCTGCGAAATATTGGATCTTCAAACCTAATGCTCAATCTGGAAACCAATTTAGTTGGAGACATGATGAGTGTTGGATGAGAAAGACTGAAATTCGTGTTGTTCCACGAAGTCGTGAGGAACAAACTTTGCCTTTACAACTCAATATGCCAAATAGGAGTGATCAAATTAGTAGATGGCTTGCATTTAGAGTCACTTTTGATTTTAATGATGTAAATACAGATTACATAGATTTTGAGCAGATATTGAGAAGAGCTTATGGTTATAATCTTCTATCAAACCCCGGTGACCCTAATCTTCGCATAAGGGTCTTACCAGCAGAATCAGGTTCAAAAATCACAGATAGGTCTATGCTACCTTTTGATGTTCTTTATGCGATTGAAAGTAATATTTCCCATAACTTTTTAAATGAACATAACCTTTCTGAAGAATTCTACCGTATTTTAGCACGTCAATCCCCTAACGTTGCAATTCATATAATGAACAGAATTTTCGCGCACAAAAAAAGAATTTATGATCCACTTTCTTTTCTAAAACGTGAAATTTCAAATTTAAATGATAATGTGATTAAAACAGATTGTGTACCTCATTATTGTGTGCTAATGAGAAAAGTAGTGGTAACACCTACAACTATGTACATGTTACCACCTGTAATGGAAACATCAAATAGAGTCATTAGACATTTCAAAAATTACAAGAACAATTTTTTACGTGTTCAATTCACTGATGAAGATTCCGAAAAAGTTTCTTATACATCAGGAAGTACAAATACAGCAATCTACAATCGAATATTTAGAGTACTTTTACATGGAATAAGAATTGGTGATCGTCATTATGAATTTTTAGCATTTTCTGCTAGCCAATTAAGGGATCATTCATGTTGGTTTTTCGCATCAATACCAAATGAAATATCTGCCGATAAGATTCGGGAATGGATGGGCGATTTTTCTAATATTAAAAATGTTGCCAAATATGCTGCTCGAATGGGTCATTGTTTCTCTAGTACACGTGCTGTTTCAAATTTACAAGTTGATGATATTAGTGAAATTCCTGATATTATTAGGAATGGTTACGTATTTTCTGATGGAATAGGAAAGATTTCACCAAAGTTAGCAAAAACTGTTGCCCAAGCATTGGAATTTAAACATGTTCCAAGTGCTTTTCAGTTCCGATTAGGAGGTTATAAAGGTGTTTTATGTCAATCACGGTATTTACGAAATAATCAAATTCAAGTTAGACCTAGTCAATGCAAATTTGAATCAAAACATAATATATTAGAAATCATTAGAGGGTCAAGAATGATTACCGCATACCTTAATCGACAAGCGATTACGATATTGTCAACATTAGGTGTGCCTGATGAGGTATTTATTTCGATGCAAAATGATCAAGTTGAGGAGTTGGATAGGATGCTTAAAAATGAGGAGATGGCTATCCGTGTACTAAATAGTAATATTGATGAGCATGATGTTACACGTATGATGTCCGATCTTGTAAAAGCCAAATTTTTCCAAAGGAACGATCCTTATATAGTAAACCTTATTTCTTTATTCCGAATTACAATGTTAAGGAGCTTAAAGAAGAAAGCTAAAATTCGTATTGATGATGGAGCCTTTTTGTTAGGTGTATTGGACGAAACGGAAACTTTGAAGGATGATCAAATTTATTGTTGCATCTCCGATCCACGAAATCCGGGGGCGAGAAGAGTAATAACCGGAAATTGTATTGTATTCCGTAATCCTTGTTTTCATCCTGGGGACGTTCGTGTCGTCAACGCTGTTAACTGTAAAAGCCTAGACTATCTTGTCGATGTGGTGGTTTTTCCAGCGACTGGATATCGTGATATTCCTAGCCAACTTAGTGGTGGTGATTTAGATGGCGATGATTTCACGTAAGTATTCCACGAACTTTGTTTTTAACATTCCGATTTTATTAATATTTTAATAATTTATATTTCTAATAATTTATTAGGATAATTCATGATCCAAGTTTAATGCCTAAAATTAAAAACGTTGAGCCAATGGATTATAGAGCTCCTGAACCAATTCTAGTTGATAATGTAACCATTGAAGACATTAAAAGATTTTTTATAAATTATATATTGTCAGATAATTTGGGCTTAATTTCTAATGCACACTTGGCTAAAGCTGATTTGGCAGAAAATGGAGCTTTTCATGGTAAATGTCTACGTTTGGCTCAGCTAAATTGTGAAGCAGTAGATTTTCCAAAGACTGGTATTCCTGCTGAATTTCCTAATGAACTTAGAGCAAGAGATGTACCTGATTTTATGGAAAAGTTTGATAAAGCTACTTATAGTTCAAAAAAAGTTCTTGGAAAATTATATCGATTGATAAAAGTCTCTGATTTCGATCCTTACACAAAAATTATATTCGATGAGAGGTTAATAGTTCCGGGATTCGAATTCTATTTAGAAGGAGCAAGAATTTATAAAGAAGAATATGATTCAGAATTACGTAGTTTAATGAATCAATACGGTTTATTATCTGAATATGAAGCCGTAAGTGGTTTCATCATTAGTACTACTCTTATAGTTGGAAAGAAGAAACCACGTGAGACACAGAATACTGTAGCGAACATGGTAGCAGCGATTAAAAGTCGTTATAAAGAAAAATTTGAACGAGAATTTTATGGAGAAGGAACAAATGTAGTATCACCTGAAGCATATAATCTAATGAAGGTTAAAGCCTCTGCGTGGTATTACGTTACATATCATCATTCAGAGTTAAAAGAAGATCCTGAAGAGAGGATGATATCGTTCCCATGGGTAAATTATGAGATTTTGTGTGAAATAGCAATTAAAAACAATTCTAAAATGAATACGAATTTAAATAATCAAGAAGTAACATCATCAAATCGTTCACCAGCTATTTCTTCTTCATCATCTTTCAGAGAGCCTGTTCAATATCGACACGCTATTGACTACCGATCCCATATGTTAGATGACTTGGAAAATGAAGATGATGGGATCGGTAGGCTTCAGCGCTTAGTTGCCCAACAATCTCTTCAACAAACTGATTCGTATTAAACAATTTATATTAAATTTGAATCGACATAGGGTGTTCTCAAGCACCTCACTTAATGGATCGGAAGTGAATTTTTAATTAGTCGGAAACTGAATAAATTAACCAAGTGGCTACCATTTCGATGAACAAATCAGCGAGACACAAACCACCTTTTTTCTTCAAAAATTTACCAATGATAAAGGTCGCCCAAGCATTACTTTTACATTTTTTACATATTAAACATAAATAATTAATTCCCAACAAATTTCTAACCGGTCTAAAAAAATAGTCACTTTATTTTTAATGTTCGAAGCTTTAAAATAAACAATCGATACATTAATATGAGCGTAATAAATACAACAGTCTTTTAACGTTTAACCAACCCATAATAAATACTGTTATTCCATTTTTCACTCATTTAAATTTAAAATCTTCTCAGTAAAGATGTTTTTCCATATTTGACGAATAGTAAAAAATTTAAATTGTTAAAATCATTAAAAGGAGGAGCCGACGTAACTAAAGTTGAAACTTTAACGGTTGATCAAAAAGAAAATTTTTCATTAGGTCTTTTAGGTAGTATAGTGAACATTATGAATAAACAGGAAAAGTATGCTCAAGCATTTAATTCTATAAATATCGTCATCAATTGTGGTGCTTACGATTATTATCTGATCAATTGATTTAGATGCTTGAGAACAGCCATAATCGGTTATTGATAAAGTCCTGACTAGGGATGCGATCCAACCCTTTTTAAATTATAGTTTGGAATCTGCATTTCCACTTAATTTTGGTTCATGTCCAAAGTCTAAATATATACAGTATCCCATTTCGACAAATAGTGTCAAACTCAAAACCACCACGTCATTAAATAAATACGTGCATTTAATAATGTAATACGTATTGAACTTTAAATTAATCAAGATATTTAAGACTTTTAATCAAGTATATCCAGATTCAAAGATTTATAAAACTCTTAAAGATCGAATTAAATTGAATTGGAGGGTTGAAAAGTATGTTTGAGACAAACAATATATCTGATTCGCATCTGATTAAATGACCATACTCATGAATTTGCATCGAAGTATACATGAGTCAGTAATTTATTGATTTTTTTACAGTTGATTGGTAGTCAGAGACCCTAACTGAAACGATGGTCATGACTTGTCATGGCTTGCGGTGGTTACCATGACCGTGATTCTAACGCTAAGTAGAATAGAACGATAAAAATGTGTTTTTCTTCGTTCTTCTTACCTCATTATTTGTGATCGAGGTATTTAGTTAAACTGAATCTATTGCTAGAGCTTATAAAAAATCGCTTTCTGAACAAGGCATTGACCGTTCTTATAATAAACATCATAAAGCTCTCTCACACTATAACAATCACCTTTTTTAAAATATTTAATATCCTAAGATTACGATCTAAATTAGCGACGAAGTTCATAAATCTCATCCAGGTCGTAACAGTGGTTAAATATAATTTTGTTCTTATTTAGGATGAGTACCAAATCAAATTTTTACATGTAAAATCTATAGCATTACAACAAAATGCTTTCTGCAATTTTTTCAATTATTCCATTGCAAATAAATATATTACACTAAATAATAATAAGCAAAACATCATTAAGAATCTAAAATACATCGTTTAAAACATATATGGGATATTTGCTAACAAAATTAGCTTATAGTTTAGCCTTATAAAGCTACAACTGCTCAAATTCCAGAAAAAAAAAATTTAACTATTACTTTCGATTAGTGATGGGATTTCTCAAAAATTTCTCACGGGATACGCATTGTATTTACAATATTTGGTTCAAGCAGTTTTTATCGATAATATAGGATGCGATTTGTTTATTTTACAAAGTGGGAGCGACTCTTGGTTATATCAGTGTTATATCTAAGACCCGCTATGTCTCATTCAAAAACGAAATCAAAACTCCCGCTGTCGAATTTATCGGCTTTTCACTCGCCCAGTTATTCACTTGAACTGGAGTATCGTTTAGGTACTCCACCACAACCCCTTTACGACTACAGCAGCGACGATCACACAGCTTATTAACTGAAGATAACATCGATAATAATGAAAACTTATACTAAACTTCCAGCTGAACCCCTTATACAAAAATACTACTCGATCGATGCAACTTTCCCTTAGGATCGTTACCCTTTTATACCGATCACGCCATATACCCAGACTACGAATTTCTGGGGTAATAGCAAATCTGTGACACTACCAAAGGCTCCTCAATAGATCTTTGGAGTATAAACACAGAGGCGTATATGATGATCTTGTTGAAGGTAATATCATTACCTATTGAGATCAGATGTCTTTATCTTAGGCAATCTTCAAGCAATTGTTGAACTTCTACTGCGTCCCAAAACTTGTTATGATGATTAATGGCAAAAATCAAGGGAACAGATAGATTTCAGTCGCTTTTGGAGAAATACAATGATGCCATTTTACAAAAAACAACTGTATACTCTTGAGTTTCTAGACATCCTCTTTCTCGGAGAGGCTGGCAGCTGTTCACTTTAACCTTGAAATTTGATTGGTCAAATTACGAAATAAACAATTTAGGTATTTAACAAATCAAAATAAACTTTTATTTTTTTAAAAAAACAAACTTTTAATTCTAAAAGTGTTGCTGTTATACACACATTTTTTTTGCATAACATATTGTGGATTTCGTAAACTCTATAATTATGTTTATACGAATAAACCATCACGACAAACTCTAACACGTACAAATAAAGAGAAGAAATACGTAAAAGAACATATAGAGAACGTGACGTGACGTCTTGTCAGCAAGGAGATACCGTACCAGCTAATTCTTCCACTACGTATTTGTGAACAGGTTAGCTCTTTTCCAAGTTGTTATTTTTACCAAATTGGAGCTCTATAATAATGAACTGCATTAATCTAGAACTCAAGTATATCTCTTATTAATTGGCAAACACCAAACGAATGATGAGAGCCAGAGATCCGAAACATTTCGCTAGGGTGAATAATTTCGTTGTGAAAAATTTTTGTATATTCTAGTTTAGCCAGCGATAACAAGCTATATAGTTTGTGAAAACACAACGCTTAGTAATGCCGCGTACAGTACTATACGTACTGTACTGTACGTACTGTACGCTAAAATTTTTGCCGATCACTTGTTCCAGCCAATCAGATGCCAGAAAAGAACTATACGTACAGTACGTACAGTACATACTGTACGTACTGTACGCTAAAATTTTTCAGGTATCATATAAATGGCACATCACTAGTTACACCTGATCAAGCAATTTGATTGGGTGATGTGAAGAACTTACATGGACCGGTCCAGTTCCGTTATCGGTCTTTTTCAGGACCGATGTATCCCTAATTTTCATAATTCCTGGAACACCTAACAAAAATTGGCCGAATCAATTCGATTAAATTGAAATTTCAATACAATCTATATAATGATTATTTTACAAATCATTACAATGATTAAACTTTTATTAAAATGCTTATCTGACATGTCTAGTATGTCAATAAGTCTTAACAAAAAATATAAAACAGCACATATATTACAGCACTTTTAAAATTACTGTGACCAGTGATTTTCATACATCACACCAGAAATCAGAAATCTAGAATAAATGCAAATCTGTGATTGGCTAAAAATATTTTTTGTCCAATAATGTATTGGCATTTTTTCCAGATTTCTGATTCCCGGTGCGATGTATGAAAATCACTGATCACAGTAATTTGAAAAGCGCTGTAATTAGACTTTTATAATAAACATTTTGTATAAATTGGAGAGTACCGTACTTACTCGAAATAACGCGCAGGGTTGTTATTTTGAATTTTGGCCCGAATTAAGCTTAATTCGGGCCAAATTTCGAAATCACACCCCTTTCGAGTAAATACGGTATGTATTATAAATAAAGTATTATTTTTATTTGTACATACATACAGGTTGGTTTGTAGCCCTTCAAATTGTTATAAGACTAATTCTATCTTGGATCATAATTTATGCAAATGCCAATCAGATTTTTTTATTAAAGTTTTAAAATATTTTAAATTAATTATTGAACATACTTTTCCTAAAAGTGACAGAAGCTTTTCAATACATTTATTTATATATTTAAAGGTGCTTGAAAAACCAACTTATAAAAGATAATCTATATCTAAATAACTATTTTAATAAAAATGCTTTAAAATATTATATTTTTAAATTTAACTAGAGATACAATATTTAGTAATATATATATTAATTATTTATTTTAGATTATATATATCTTAATTTTATTAAATCTATTATATTAAAATCACAAACTTAACCAAATTAGCTTAAAAATCATTTAGCTAATTTTTATTAAATATTTTAGAAATTATGAGAATAACTATAATAATATATAAATTACAATTACTAAACCTAATATTTTTATAAGGTGATATTATATAGTCAATCAGATTTATCTTATATGAAAGAGGAGAGAAGATATAGTAAAAAAATATTTTAAAATATCTATTACTACTCTAATTATAGTGTTAAATATTAATATTATATATTTATATTACTAGATAGTCTGCATTATGTAAGTAGAAAATTACTGGCTAGTACTAAGCTACACAAACTCAACTACTTGTACTGATCTTTTGTACAATATTAGTTGCTATTTTTTGTTTTAATAATATATAATTTCCAACTAATATAATTTGAATCTATTAAATAAATTTCAATATTAATATAATATTAAACTGATATAAATATATATATATAATATTTTTTAATTAAATAGATAGCTAACTTTAAATAAGCAAGATACAAAATTGTATATCAATTAATATATTTATATATGTTATATATTTATATTAAAAAGAACAATAAATACAAAAATTTATAGCTAATTAGTGTAACTTTTTTTATTTGTTATTATTTATAATATAAATTATAATTTTGAATAATATAGTTATATATAATAGCATTATTATGCTTTAATTAAAAACTATTTACTCAAGTTATAAAATATATTTAATTTTTTCTGATGATTA